AACAGGGATCCAAAGCCGGAGCCGCCAGGGAACTTTTCGAGGACTGCTGGGCTCTTTCAGAGTGATTTACTTGCACTTAACTTGTCCCAAAGTGCAAGCGTGACCAATGCCGAGCGCGCTCCAGGCTTGCCCTGCAAATAGGAGTCAATAAAGTTAGGGCTTGTGCCTGTGACTAGAGGAAATCACGTTCAAAGCAATCCCTGACCGCCCTGCACCTGAAGTCATCTTGTCTTGCCCCCCCCCCCCACTCCCCTTTTTTTCTTTTCTGTAATTTCTTTCTAATCTTCAATGATCTCAGTTTGCATCTGAGAGCAAAGCTGCCTACCTGGGCATGGGGCGTCAGAGGCAGAGTCGGGATCTACAGCGCAGCAGCTCACTGTTCCAGTCTAAGCTGTTCCTGGATTGCCATCTGCTGGTGACCGCTGGCAAAGGCAGCTCGTTTTATCTTGACTGGGAAGACACCTTAGCCGGGAATTTGAGGAAGACAATTCACAATAAGGCTCATGGGTCTGTTCTTGTCGTTCCCTACAGTCACTTCTTCAGGTCCCCCTCCCCCATCTTAACATAGGCCTGAAGTAGGAAATATCTCCACAAACTTGGGAGCAACCTCGAAAGATTTGCTTGCTTATTGGAGCCAACTTCAAATGGACTTAGTTAAGGGGAATTAGATGCAGAGGCTAATAACAAGCATAAATACAGAATGAGCTGACATCGTTTATTGCTCAGAAACCGGGCAACTGGAAATGTCCTTTGCCCAGTCTGACAACCAGACCGCTGTGTAGATCTATGTACAACACTGTCTTTTTCTTTTTTCTTGTTCAAGCGATCTTGTACAGCTACCGGCAGTCTCTAGGACTCGTTCAAAAACTCGTGGAAATCAACAGAAGGAGGCACAACGATTTCAGTGGACCCTGAACAAAAGCCGTAGTTCTATGGACTGCAATGGCAACAACATTTGGTCCTTTATTTAACAGAACAATTATAGAAAGCATGTGTGGGCATGTGTGTGTGTGAGCACCCACGTAGTAGGAGGACGTTTTACAAAATGTGAATTTTTCCCTTCTAAAAATGCTGAGGTTTATACAATGCACTTATAAATATTTTTGTCTCATTAGTTACTTTTGTATTTGTGTGTTAACTTCCCTCTCTCTTTCTCTTTCTCTTTCTCTCTCTCTCACAGATCCCGCGCTTGAGGATTTTGTCCAATTATGGTTTTATTTGTAGGCTATTTACCACTCCCCGTTCTGCTGAACTCTGCTTGAGAAGCTGAAATGCTGCAACAAATGTTCTTTCCCAATCTACTGGTCAGTTTGCTGAAGTGGAACGGAGTCCACTAATATATGAGAACAAGGATATAAAAGCAGGAAGACATGCATCAACCTTCAGGGTAAACAATGGGGACTATATTGATTGCTTTTTAATATGCAGTGGTCACACAGTTGGAAAGAAATCCTGCCCAGTGAAAAGGACCTGAGCTCCTACTCCTGAACAGGGCACAAGCACCTATATGTTTAATTGAAAAATGGAGTCCTGGCCCCAACCTCAAACTTCTGGAACAGTGGAGGGGCCTTTCTGATGCAGACACCCTTCCGTTAGAGGAAAGGCTCTTCAAAGCTCAGTAGAGCTAGAAAATAAACTGCTGTCCTACTTTCCAACTGTCCTCAATTGTTCATCAGGAATTCCCATTGTCCCTTCTCAAGCTGGCGTGCACTCTCATTAAGGCTGTGAATTATGTGCGCGCGCGTGTGCACGCAGCAATGGTGTTTAGCAGCCTTCCCAGAGATAAACATGTGTATATTTCTGGGGAAGGTGATTCCTGGTTTACAGCAGTCTGAAAGATTTATGAAGGAGTTAAATCCTCAGAGTTTCATGTTAATTCTTCCAGAGGGGAGCTTGGGAGGAGGTGGGGGTGGGAATGATTGTCATGCTACAGAATAGCAGATCTTGCCACAAATGCTTAGTGAAGCTGTGTGAACAAAGCTTTGGGGGAATTCGCAACTAGATGGCCAGCAATTTTGCTGGAAGTAGGAAGACTAGCTTTAGATGTATCAAAATAACAACTCTTAATTCCTCCCGTGCTGGGTTTTGATCCAAAATGACAGTCTGGAAAGGAAAAGCAGAGCTATTCCTTACATTTGTTAATGTGTTATCTGAAGTCCCAATCACTTTATTTTCAGTTAAGATGGTGCAATGTACAAGGCAAAGTGTCAGAAAATGTGAAGGCACATCTGCTTTTTCCACTTGGATAACTGCTATCCGTTTGGATAATGGACAGTCTGTACAGATCCGTAGGGGGGAAACTTTCGGACTAAAGGTTTTCACTAAAAGGAGAAGTGCTGATTTATCATTTATTTATTAAATTACAGCCTCCATGTTGTGGGTAATTGATTACTTGCTTGCTTTTCTTCTTTTGAAATGACATTCTTTCCAGAAAAATTAAGGGAACAGGGAAAACAATATATTTCAGTTTGCTTAAATATATTCTCACATCAGTTAAACACAGGAGCAAGTGGCTGATAGAACAAGTTAGTCAGTCTTAGCACTGGACAGAGCTTCAAATGTGGCTCAACTTTGGCAACTTAATCTTGACATAAGTGATCAGCCTGCGACTGTAGCCCAGGACTCTGTATTACTTTGCCAGTGAATGCTGGGTAACCTTTTTCAGAAGGCCCTAAGTGATTTAGGAGCCTGGGTTCTTTCCTTCGGATTTAAAAGCTTTGGAAAAACTTTGCCCGTCATTCTCAGTTGTGCATTCCTCGGTTTCTACTGTAGACCTCACTTCCCAAAGGCAGGAGCCCCTCTTTTTTCGTATCTGGAACCTCAGCGAGGTTTGCAATTGCACACCAATTCACATTACAGCACTCTCCTCTGTTCCAAACTTCCTCACCCCCTCCCCATCAATGCTCCTCCGCCTAGACCTGCACCAGTCCTAATGTTCCAGTCCTGGGGCTCTGTGACAGAACAAACTCTCACATGAGTGGAGAAAAAAAACCTGCGGTGGGTGGTGGTTTTCACTTGAAAATGCGAACTAGGGTGTGGTCCTACAGACTGCAATTACCTATTAATCCTCTCATCAGAGGCGGCTAGAAAACGAAGGCACCTGGGATTTGTACGAGCCAGACTCAGCTCATTCTAAGGAGAGGAGAAGTTATATTTGGGAAGTTTAGCATAGTGCTACAGGGGGGAAATGGTTTCAGAGAAGAAGCAGTTATCTTGAGGAAGAGAGACTGAGTTTAGAGCAAGTTAGGTACAGGTTGGAACCTGCCTCTCTCCAGGAAGCTTTGGATTTGCCAGAGAGGTAAGAGAACCCGTGGGGAAACAGAACTGAGGAGTGTGGGTGGGGATGAGTTGACTGGGATATATTTACATGTGAAAATTAGTGACTCTCAACTAAGATGATGCCAGATTCTTTGAAGGGTGATAAAGAGTGTGAGGAGATAAACAGATAAGCTAAGCAGATAAACCACAGGCTCAGGTTTGTCTCTGCTTGGCCAGCCCTCAACCCCCACAACCCTGCACTTCTGCAAGGAGTTAAATACTGTAATATTATTAGTTACATTAAATGTTGTATTAAAATTTAATTTCAAAACAAAATATTTGTTCTTCAAAACTAAATATAGTTTTGCAAATTGGGTGCTACTCAATAGACAGTTGCCTCAGGCTCAGTGGGGGTGCCTCAAGTCCAAAAAGATTGAGAACCCCTGGTTTATATACTACACTCCTTATGGCTGCTTCTTCTCTTTCTTCATTCTTACGTTAATAACTCCTGCAGTGTTTGCCCCTTACCCTGACCCACCAGTCATTGTGGGGGATAGGTCATATTGAATCAGGGACTCCTGATCATGGTGTTTCTTCTAGTAGCTTTTGTCATATGGCTGAAGCTATGATAGACTTCCAAGGACACTTTAACAAGCAATTGGAGAGAAGTTTTTTGAAACCAGATCTCTGGGGCTATAGTCCCAGTGACTAATTCACTCACACCTGCCTGCCATCCCTTCTCTTCCCTGATGTAACTCTCTGACATTTAGTAATATTCTTTTTTGCATGAAGTAAAAATTAATTTCATGGAAACCAACCCTGACTTCTGCTCAAAGGCTTGGTGGTGCAGCCGCTGTACAAGAGGATGCTGGGAGATCTGGGGTTAGGTTGTGGTCACTTGGAATCCTACCAGAAACTAGATCTGAGCTCTGTAGCAAGCTACTTTATCATCCCTCTGGCATGTTCCAGTCAATGGGGATGTAATTGGGGATGTAATGGGGTCCTGTAGGAGAATGTGGGCAGATGGACTGGCTAATCCAGTTGGAAGGATCAAGGTTAGGGTTGCTTTCAGAATCATGGGAGGGAAATCCAAAAGCCTTTCTATGGTGTCAGAGTAGAGAACCAGGAAAAAAGACCTTTTTGTATACCATCCCCAGCTCATCTAAGAACTTAAGGCAAAGATGAGTGTCTACATCACTTTACCAACATCAACCTGCCATGCTCAATAGTCAACTTCTCAACAATCCCCTCCATGTTTTTTCCCACACCCCCTTGCAAATGGGAAACTTCCTGAAAAAATGTGCACAGCTATGGCCATCTCTTATAGAACTACATCCACTACTATTCCAATTAACATCAGCCTGCCTATCACAGCTAGGTTTGGTAGCTGATAAGCTGGGCCTTTCCCCCTTGCACTTATCACTCTTCACTTTCCTCCAACCTCAAGAAACAGAACCTGTAAAACTAGATTCGACCTTCACCCTGTTAACTTGCTTGCATGCCATTTTCTCAGTCTCTTAGACTGTAGGTGCTGTAGGGCAGGGATAGTTTTATTCATGTTGTAAAGCACCTAGCACAACGGGGATCTGATTCTGACTGGGATCTCTGGGCAAGCTATGGTGACTACCAAGAATGTAACCCAGTGGAAAGCTGAAAATAAGGATGATTTTTATGGTTCCTTGGGGTAACTATTTCAAAGTTATCCAAGTTATTTAGGCCAAGTTTAATTTACTTTTGATGGATTTTAAGCTCTTGAAGGCAGTTAAATGCTTCTGGAAAATATGCCCTTGATCTAATGCAGTGTTTCATTCAAGTGTGAGATGAAAAGGGTTAGCTGCAAGGTGTGTGGAGTAGGAGATGGACATCTATTTAAATGGTTTTCTAGAGTCCCAGATTTCAGTGAACTCTTAGCTCTTGCGGTTGTGAAAATCCATCAAAATGTGACCTGGGTACAACTTGTTCAGGTGCTGTCTACCTGGATTTGCACAGAGCTGGACACACAACAGCTTGGAAGAACAAGATGTTCCATTCGTGTCAGTGGATGCTAGCTTGGATGGCAATGAAGAGACTATAAATGTCATCACGGTTAATGACTTCACTGATCAGGAAACCCTGACAGAACTGATACAACGATCTACTGCTGCAGTCCTCAAAGCCTGCACATGGGATGTAGAGTTGCTAAAGACATGTACTTTAAGATGGGCTGGCCTTTTGAGACTATGGTGAAAGTTGGGGGCATCATAGGAGAGATTAAGCTGCCAGAAGTTTGAGGCAAAACTTCTCATGTAACCATTGGGAAATGTGTTTAATAGGAGTTCTCCTGTGGAGATAGAGGGCTTGGGAACAGGTACCAGGACAGAGCTTTCCACTACTTCCACAGCCGTGAAATGCACTGAATGTTCGTTAGTCCAGTTGCTAGCAGATAAGTAATCATTCTTCTCACAGAAACTTAACTTGTAAGTGGCAGACTTTGTGGTTTGGCAGAGAGGCCAGGGTGATCACAATATTCCTCACCTTTACAAGGGGTATCTCAGGTCAGCATTTATGTCTCACTGCTCTGTCTGTACAGGGAGTAACGTACCCAGTCTTGTTGCTATGCCAGCTACCCATTTCAGGCAGCTAGCCAGATCCTTGGTATCTGTCTTTTTCCCCCATTTACTGCAGTTAGTGGGTGTCTAACAATCATCCTTACCGCAATCCTAAGAAGTAGGAAAGGCCAGCTGTAAAATGGGCATGGGGTTCTGGGGCACAGGCTAAATATGGGGACTAGAGACCATTATTTTAGAACTGAACTATTCTAACTACCCTATCAATGCAACCGCCCTCTTCCTTATGGAATTCAATGTGGACAAGGGACAAAGGCAAAAGGTGTGATCCTGTGGTATGAGGAGGACACCAGGGAAATGCTGAATGCATTCAACCTCCATGGATTCCACTATGAACCCAGAATGCATAGCACCTCATGAAAGCAAATCTAAAGAGACTCCATTCTTTAAAACTGTCAATTTAGCAAGACCTGCTTCTCACATAACAAGGCCCCCGTTCAGTAAAGCAGTTGCATCCCATTATCTTTCAGGGTCTTTAGAGGTGGATCACTAAATGGGAGTCTATAGGAGTCTGCGCGGGTGGGGTTCAGTGTTTGGGGCAGAGACCTTTCCATTGGAATGGGGCCCACACTGCTGCCCAGACATCATTCTTCTGAGGTTTGAATCTGTTTCCCTAAAGACACCAGATTTATTCCAAGTGAGTGTGAAACTCTTGTCCTATCTGAAGCAAGATGTTGTGGGTGGGTGTGTTTTGGAGGCTGGCTAAAATGCCTCCTTATTTCTAAAGCCCCCCAGATGTCCATTGGGCTGGATGGTCAGTGAAACAAGTTAGCCCACAGTCAAAAGGCCTGAAATGTTTGAATACCAAGCAGCAGCAATACTGAGAGGATTGCATGCGTCAGTCAATTCTTTTACTCCTTTTCATGTTACTTGCTTAAGCCTACTTTAACAAATCTAACTGTCTTAACAAGCTACCAGCTGACTAAGATGATCCAGTCCCCTTTTGTAATAGCCAGGGATTTTTGCGGTCCTTCACAGAGCCTGTTTGGAGGCTTTTATCAAATATGAGAGGCCTTAATGAGTTAGCGTCTTGGAGATCAAAGGCAGGGATATGACTGTTGTCCTCTCTCCTCTGCTCAGTCTGCTGTGACCCCCTGTATGGATCTTGTCATGGATGCTGATGTCTGCGACTTCAGAAGTGCAGAGGAAAAGAACCAAGTCTCCGCTGAGCAGACAGTAGTTAATTAGACAAGAGGCAGAAGTGCCTGAGTGCATGGAAGGCTGTCTTGCCTCAAAGAAACAAAATAGCTGCCTCCAACCCCCTCCCCACAAAAAAAAAACAAAACCAAAAAACCTCCAACTGACAACTCCACATTTTTTTCCATCATCTTTTCCTAGTGCTGGAGAGGCTGCTCACAAAGTGGAAATTCCTGAAGAACAGGCCTATTGTCCTCTTTTTAGCCATTTTCAACTGAGAGCAGGTCACCCTAGAGACTGCTTCAGCTGGACCTCAGCATCTGCAGAAATGAATTAGGGGAGAGTGAAGCTTCAGGGTTGGGGGCAGGGTGACTTTTACTTAAGCTGTCAGATCTGGCTGGTGAAACTGTCAGAGTGAGATTTTTTTTTTCATAAGAGCCAAAGTGACTTGGGTGACTTTCGCTGGATTTTGCATCCCTAAATTCTTTAGGTGCTCTTGAAAATCCCACCCTAACCCTGAACCAACCAAACCCTTTGTGAGGCTCTGAAATGCAAGGTGAGCTTTATTTCTTCCAGGTGTGTGGGGCTGCACTTCCACTAGAAACTAGGAGCATCAACAATCTTGGGTGAGGGGTATTCTGCTTATATGACTCTTAGGAGCAAAGGTCAAGTGCAGAGCTAATATACTTCTATTCCAATATAGCTTGAGGCCTAAACAATCAAGTGTTCATCCAGGGATAATGAACGCTTGATTAAAACTTCACCTGAAGCAAAATGGAGGTGGTATGGTTCAAGGTGTGAACACTATTTTGAGTCCAAAGCATCTATTCAATTTCTGATATTGTGCTGGTGGCTTGCTATCACAGTGGTCTCTCCTTCCCTTGGTTATTTGCTGCATTGGAGGAAGTAAATAAAGACACTATGCCTACAGGTGGCAGTATGATACACTAGTGAAAGCAGTGGCCCAAGACTTAGAATGGGTTTCTGTTCTTGGCTTGGCAACTGACTTCTGAAACGAGTTACTTCAGTTTCCTGTGCCTCTTCCCCTGGGTATATAGATGAAGTTCTTTAGGGTTGTATCTGTTTTACAATGCGGTGTAGAGCAGCTGGCACAGTGGGGCTCTGGTCTCATTAAGGCCTTCAGTATTTCACAAGTAATACTAATTAGCCTTGGTATTTTACTTCACTCATCACTTCTCCCAGGTACTTGGAACTGAGACATGAGCCCTGCTTTTAACTTGCCCAGAAAAAGACCTTTTTTGAGATGAGAATCTGGCTGCGACAGTCATTCATTCAT